CTGGCCGGCAAGGCCGCCGTCTTGGCCCAGCAGCGCAGCTTGGACGAGCGGGTCCGGCTCCTTCAGGACCAACTGGAGGCCGTCAGGAGCGGCCTAGGCCACCAACCCCCGTCTCCCAGGCTGGCCTCTTCCCCCCGGGCCAGTCCTCCGGATGAACCGCCCTTCTCCCCTCTGCTTATTTAGTTGTCAGCGGGGCGGTGGGGAGCTTGGCCCCTGCCTTTCACTCACGAGGCCGGGGGTGACGCTGGTTTATTCGGTGCTTTTCCCGTGGGGTGGGGATGACCCAGCCAGGCCCTCCCAGGATACTTCAGAGAATTGTCATGTGGCCTCACCCAAGCCGTGTGATTATGTGGTAATTAACTTACGGATTTTACAAACTGCAGTATTCCCCTTTTCTGTGATGAGAGATGGGCTTGGTCAGGGTTGGGTGGAGGGCGAGGAGACAAGTCAGAGTCTCAACTTAAGACGCAAAACAGCCTTTTTCTCCTCTCAATAAAAATGGATGTGAGAAGTGTGACGCCACCTGAGCATGGTTTGGGGGAAGGGTCTTATTTACTGATTACAGACAGCCCCTTACCTGACTAGAGCAGAAGAGGGAATTGTTGGAGGATATCAGGGAGGTCTGAGAATCAGGAAGACGAGAACCAGGTTTGAAAACAGGAGGGACCAGTAAACCCTGACTGTTCTGGTAACGGTATCACTACCAAAGCCGAGGCCTGACTGCCTGAGTCAGGTCTCCTTTGCTGGTTTTACCCAAGCCCCCAACCTCAGTCGTGGAAATGGGGTACTGCCTCCCTTTAAGACCCCATGGATATGGATAAAGTCCCCCATGTTTTCCAATGTTTTGCTGCCTAAGAACGCTGACGAATGCCCAATACACTTGGAAGTTTGGGGACATTCATTCCAAGAGCTTTCTTCCTCTTCCAATTATGTTATCAACATTGACTTTATCCCACTCTCCTATGGAGACTCCCCTGGGTCAGCCAGGCTTGAGGAGGCAGCTGGGGGTGGGAGCCGAAGGTGAGGCATGGGGAGACCTGGAGACCTACCTGTGAGGGCAGAGGCCCTGGGGAGGCAGCTCGTCTGTGTGCTAGAGACTCGGGCTTGGGGGTGGGCTGGGGTTGGAGGGGCTGAAACAGGACAGGCACTCTCCTCCATTTGTGCATCGGCCCAGTGTACCCAGAATCGGTGTTAGGTTCTCAAATACACCTGTGAAAGTCTGCTTCAGCCTTTGTAGCTGCAAACACCAGGGAGATTCAGAGCATGGCTCATGCAAACTCAGTGTATTTTTGGAAGCTGGGCACATTAGAAAGCATGTGTATTTAAAGCCACGGATCCCAAAGTGAGAAATCGCTGCTGCTGGGCTTGTTTTCTGATGCCTATTGTCACGAAGTGCAACTGGGTGGGAATTTTAAATGGTGGCATTCATAGCAGAAGCGTTAGTGACAACAGTGGCGCTATTGAGCACAGAACAAAGCTCACATTGTGCCTTTTTATAAAAAACATATGGGGCTCCTGCAGAGGCAGTTGCGGGTTCTAACATTATGCTTTGAACACTGCGGAGCCCCGGCTCAGCCTAGCAGGGCAGCTGGCTTCTAGACGCGTTCTGGATGGGATCTACTTATTTCTGTCTTTTGCCCTGTACAGGTCCCATTGCACTATCCCATTGTGGCAGTCTTAGAAACACACTTAAAGGGTCCGTTAGACCAGTGGAAATTGTGTATTTCAGAGAAAGCACTCCCAGGCGGGAATGGCCGGAACGGGCCTGGGGAGCAGCGTCTGCCATTGTCCAGTTAAATTGCACTTTGGTTCTGTGTTTCGGTTCCCCATGGGGAAGTACAAGGCTTCTCTGTTTTTCCCTACAGATCGGGGGAGCCACCAAAGAAGGTGGACACCAACAGCGCCCGTCCTTTCATGTTGTCCCGGTCTCCCTCCTGCCCCAGTTATTCTCCCGCCCACACCGTTATTCTTTCAGAGAGCAAGAATGAGCTCACCATGGTGTGCGCTGTTGGTACCACAAACCCAGCCTTGAAGCACCAGGAGCCGGGTGACTTTCACCTCCAGGACGCTGCCAGCAGAGGGCACTGTTCTCCTTACAATGGAAGCTGCTACCCTCACTGGACCACCTGCAGCCTCCCAGCTCCCAGGCCCTCTGGGCCAGCCGCGGGGAGCAGCGTCCCTGCTGGGCCAGAGGCTGGGGTTAGGCTATTTTGCTTCTGTCGGAAAGCAATTCTGGCCAGGCAGCCCTTGGGAAGGCCGTCTCGCTTTCCTTAGTTGTTGGTTAATGAGAAGTGAAGAGGAGGGAAGCCGGGGGTGTTGATCTCGAGTATCAGTATAAAAAAGTCCCCCAGGGTGGAACAGGGTCTCTTAGGTCTGTGAGGGCTTCTGGTCCCACCCCTTGACGTTGCC